ATTGATCCATCTAAATAAAGATTTTCTATGGTAGTTTTTATCTCATAAATATGAGTAAATGTTCAATTTTTTGATACGATGGAGATTTCAGCTGTACTTCGGTAATAATTTTTATTTTCATTAGAATCCGTCGGGTGCAAATTAACCCAGATTTAGTGGCGTAACCAGAAAATCATGGGTGGATGGGTAGCGCCCCACTCGCTTACAAAATGACTCTACTATGCTAGAACAACGAAAATGTCTATGTATTTATTTAATATTTTTTCCCATCGGTGGGTGGACAGAGACCTCGTGTGAGGGGGTGCTGCCCACTCATACATCCTTTAGATACGCCACTACAAATATTGTTATAAAAAATTATCGATGAGTGGACTGAACCTACTCATGCCCTACCTTGGTTACGCCACTACCCAGGTTCAATGGGTTGTAGTCAGCATTGACCGATATGGACAATTGTTTTATATGTTATACTTTTCTGAGTGTCTCACACCAAATTTCAGCACTCTAGCTCGTACCATTGCTGATTTATGAGGCTCATACTATGGAAAGAATGGTATTTTTTTTTAGAAAGATGTGCGCTAAGAAAGCGAAATTTTCTAATGAGGGAACTACCAGAATTGATACCTGCCATTTGATCTTATGTTGGATTCATAAGGAAGTCTCAGCAAAACTAGAAAAATCCTATAAGGTTTGTCTCCGTGAGCCTCTGAAGTTGAGTTATGACCGTTTTGGTGAATATTTGATTTTTCGGTAAATCGAAAATTCAGTAAAACGGTCATAACTGAGCTCCAGAACCCCATGGAGACGAACCTTATAAAATTTTTCTAGTCTTACTGAGACTTTCTTGTAAACACAATGCAAGTTCAAACGTTGGGTATTAGTTCAGGTAGCTCCCTTCTAAGCATTGCAGAAAAGGCAACGAATGGTCCATTTTGTATATCCTGAAGTACTCTATTCTCTCTCTGTTTCCACATCCATTCGTCCGAAATACTTTAAGACAGACATTTATTTATTGTAGTATAGAATGACATTCTGCGACTTTTGTCGTCTATCTCTTACCTTTCTCCAGAGATTTACACTATATGAAAAAAATATAGAACGATATTTTTCATGTAATATTTTAAACAATAGGGAGTCAAGTATTCCTCATATAATTTAATTTCTTTTATTTCGGTAACTGATAAATAATATTCTGTACATTATACTTACACTAAAGTAAAGTGTTGGGAAACTTTTGCTGTATAATACAAGCATAGAGTATAATAAAAAGTACTACTCAAAAAAAATTGTTTAGATCTATTTTCAGTTTTTTGTACCAAAAAGTTGCAATTCATTTGTACAATAGAATTATTTTACCTGTTGTTGAAGACTTTCTTTAGTTCTTAATTCAATATTTTTTTGAAATAATAATAATTTTTCTTCAGTTGATAAATTATGCATTGATGTTAAATCATCACGACGATTCGTATACATAGCATCAAGATTGTTTAATTTTTCATCTAAATAAAACAGAAAAAAAAAATATGAATTCCAAATATAATTTATTAAAATAACACGCAGATTTTTATTTATCTCGATCCTTTATAGAATACAGACACGTACGACTTAGTAGAATATTTGTTATTCTCCTACACTTAACACATACCATAACTTTGCAAAAACACCTACGCGCACAATAAATCTCATAATAAAAAGTAAGGAGCTGTGTGACATTGTGAATTATCTCACATGATTCTAGTAGAACAAATTTTTTCGGATCAACAGGATTTTACAAGATAATTAAAAAAAAAAAGTTTATTCCGCAAGATTCTATTCTATGAAGATGGCATATAATTTAAGTGCTGACCGTTTGTAACATCTGAACCAGAATGAATCTGACGAGGAGGAAAACCCCAAAATCAAATATCTTCAAAAAAAAACAACATTTTTTTATTTTCTGTTACTTATTTTTTTTAAATCAGAAGAGAAATGAATAAACACACTTAATGATGACTTTTGTAGCGTAAAGAGTGCTCTTATCAATGACGTATCGGAAGTTAAATTTACGCTTGATTTTTATATGAAAATATGACTTTTTCTAAAAAAAGAAAAGACTGAGTAAATTAGCCGTTCTCGTTAGGCTCGTTTTGGAAAAAAAATGTTTGTTACAAAATATATAGTTCAAACATTGCTCTTTCTAACAAAAAAAAAATTTTCTTAATTTAGAACCCTTGATATTTTTGTATTGCACATTATCTTACGTGTCTCAATGAATGTCTATAAACTAAATAATATATTATTGTAAACTTGTCTATCTGAACAGAGATTTTGCTATTACAGAAGATATTTGTATAAAATCTTGTAAACTCTTCGTAATAATTGAGTTTGAATATTAACTCAATAAACTGAACTTTCCACATGTGATTCAACTTTTAAAACCTTAATCAATTGAATCTAATGATTTTCACAATCGATATCGAACGACGATTGACTTTCATTTGAAATCAAAATAAAATTAATAATAATCACGCACAATTATTCAGTAAATTGATCGCATCTGCTGTCTAGAATAATTTTTTGTTTTCTGAAGATTGATGAAATTTTCAATACTTAAAAAAACTTCTATGATCTTTCGAATTTGATGTTAGCGAGAAGCGGATAATTAATCGCGAAAAGTTCATCGTATGAATCATTATGAACGAAGACAATTGTTGCCGCTGCATTAACCATTATTTGTAATATCAGAAGAAAAAATAAAATTCACAACGATATTACTATTTATAATCTGCCATTGATTGTAATTCAGTCAAAGTATTCTACGAGTTGATTACTATCAAATGTCATGACAAGTCGCTTAATTTGATTGTCAAGCTTCTTAGATAAAGCTTTCTTTAATTTTGAGATGGAGAATGAGGACTATAGATCTTTGATTCAGAATTGTTTTTTATCATTGAATCTAGTCAATCAACTGTTTTTTTTTAATAGGAGTTATTAACAAACGTATTTCTGAACTAAACATATTTCCTTATTCATGATCTTACATATTTAATTATTAAAAGAGAATTAGAAACTAACCAAGAGTTGATCCAGCAACAGAACCTGCCCATAAATCATTTGAAGTTTGTGCACTATTATTTTGAGATGAACCTGGTAACCATGATGAAATACATGTAAGCATGGTCATCAATAGACTTGTATGACCATTAGTTTCATTATTTGATTTCTAAATAAATAAACAATTGATAAATCTAATGAGAAAACCTCTTCAGATATCAAATCGTTTGTCGACTAAGACAATGTTCATTTGATGATTAATAGAAAAGTCTAGAATGGTTTGGTTTACTGAATCTTTTTATTAGTTTCTATGTGGTTTAAATTAATATCGGAGTATCCTATCAATCATGTTCTATGGCGCGCTGTTAAAAAATCAACTTTCTATTTATTACCGTTTGTGAACAATGCAAAAAATAAACTGACTGTTTTTTTTTATTTTCTTCGGATTGTCATGACGGTTTCTAATACATTTTTTGTTTCTTTTCTGCTGGAAAAAACAAAAAATTATGATTTATTTAATGAGCTTTCTTACAGAAATTTCAATATAGCAACTTTCGTTTTATTAAAAAAATGAATTCCTGTTAATGACTCCAGAAAAAGTTTCCCGTTCCCATTTGACCTTACTATAAAGGCAATAAACGTTTTAGGTTAAATCTTATTCGATAAAGAATGTTTACAAATCTAAAAATTGAAAATTATTAGTTCTTTCTCTTATTAAATAATTTACATTTTATTGGTATTCATCAGAGTGTGACCTATAACCAAAATACAAAGATTTCTAAGGAACGTACTATTGAAAAAAGAGTAAAATGTAGGATGTGGTTGTAGAAGAACAAAAGATTCACACTCATATCCCAAGCCATTTTCGACTTTTCTATTATTTGTCAAATGAATATCATCTTGATCGAAAAGTGATTTAGCACCTGGAGAAGTGCTCCCTTACAGAATTTATTCTTACAATTTTCTTATAAAAACTTGATTCTGTTGAAATATTAAGTAAACGAAGAATTTCTTCATCGGACATAGTCTAAAAACAAAAACAAAAAAAAAGGATGCTTGTTTTTTTTCTTAAATAATCATTATTATTTCAATATACTCTATAATCATTAATATTTGCTTCAGGTATAAAAACACTTGTTGTATAATCATATCTTTGTCCTTGAAAATAATCGATGATTAATGCATTAAGTGCACGAATTAGAAGTGTAGGTTGTGTAGTTGAAGATGAAAATCGAATTTGATTATCAACACCACCACGTAACTCATTTATTAAACGACCACGTAAATGTGTCTATAATATTATATAAAATGAAAAATAGATAATAGTAAAGTTTCTATCGAAAAAAAAAAAAATTTTTTTTTTTTCATTTACTTTAACATTATCAACAATGCCTTTTGATTTCATCAAATCAAATAATTTAATTCGAAGATCTCTTCCATTAAGACCATTTTGATCCATTGTTGTCATGTTTTAATAAAATCTTAAAAATAAAAAATGTGAATCAGATTACATTGTACAAAACCACAACGACCATATTCAATTCGTTTCCTATCACAATGCCTCTATCCATCATAAATCTTGTATATTCTCCTTCTTTTTTGTATTGGTTTCATTTCAACCAGTAAAAATGTTATTTAGAAAAAAAACAACAAAACAACCAGCCAGATAATTAACCAGTTATGAAGACTATCTAGCCAAGTTCTATAATAACGATTGAATTGTATGACATCTTATCATTACATAAATATTTTTTTTTCTTGGCACACAAATATTGAATGAAGAAAAGAAACTAATACCAGCTGATACATAACGCACGAGATTTATCCTTTCTACTTGCCGTGTTTGCGCTCGATTTATTTCAGGTATATTTAAATTTAATATTTGAAGAAAATTATCTAATCATTTACATCCTTGTATCTGAATGTTTTTTTTTGTAGTTATTACATCCGTGGAAAAAAGATTAGCAATGACTTCACCGAGAATTCCGTTGTATCGCGTTAAAGGTACACATTATGACTGTGCACGTGCTATAGGAATAGTAGCATGTGAAGCAATTCGTCAGCGTATTGCTGATGATCCTATTTTCTCAAATTTATTTACTTTTGTACGAACTGATTATGGTCATAAATTACAACAAGGCTTCATTGAAAGAACACGTTCATTATATCCATGGTATTGGGATGAAATTCGTGGTTTAGCTGATGGTTCAAAAGTCCCTTTCGAACAAATACTTGTTCTAAATTTTTTCAATGAAGCTCGAGCAGCTAATCGTTTATTTGAAGAAAAGAAAAAATTAATGGAAAAAAATCAACAAATAGAAAATGAAATGGGTGAAAAAGGTTGTACAACTGTATTAATTAATCGAAAAGATACAAATACATTATCATTAGTACATAATGAAGATCATTCACCAGCATTATATATGACAAGTTATCTTATGGAAGCCGATATTCAATCAAGTAAATATGATGATGGTAAACGTGAAAGTCCAAATGAAAAATTTATTGCTCATTGTTATGCTGGTTCTCTTCCAGGTAAATAAATAAATAATTTTTTTTTTTTTTATAATTATTTATTGAATATTATCTTATTAAGGAGTTGCATTTGGTATAAATAAACATGGTTTTGCATATTCATTAAATGGTCTTTATCCAAATTTTGTTGGAGATAATCGTTTACCACGACAAGTAATTAATCGAGCATTACTTTCAATTCAAAATGAAGATGAATTAGATAAATTACTTAAAACAATACCTGTAGCATTTGGTTTTTGTATTAATGGTGGTTTTATTCATCAATCAAAACATTTATTTAATTATGAAATAGGTCCTAATTTAAATATTGATAATGAAAATTATATTAGTAAATGTTTTATAATTAATAATGAAGAAAATTTTGAAAAAACAAATAAATGTTTAATAGCATTTAATTATCTTATTCATTATAATCATTATGAACGTTTACATAATGTTATTTCTCAACAAAAACAACTTGAATCATCATATACTCGTTGGAAACGTGGTCGAGAACTTGGTGAAATGTTTACTATTCATGATGCTATATATTTATTAGGTGATGATCAAAATCCAAAATTTCCTATATTTCGTGTACGAAATGCAGGAGAAGATGCTAATGCTGTAACACTCTGTACAGCACATATTAATTTTTTAACATTAGAACTTACTATTTATGAAAGTAATCCAAAGGAGAATGATCAACCAACACTTATTTATAATTTAACTAAATTATTGGCTTAAAAACAAAGACTTAAATTGAGTTTTTTTTTTTTCTATAATAGGTAGAGATATAATCATTAATATTTTTCTTTTATTGTTTGTTGAATAAAAAAAAAAAAAAAAAGGTTTATTTTCCGGTATTTATATGACATTCAATAAAAACAAAGAATATGAATAATAAATGTTTCATCTCGATTTATCAATGTCATTTGAAATTTCCAGGACAAGTAGATCTTCGTAAGTACAGCAAAAGTCATCATTCCAGATGTTATCTTCTACGAGATACTGAAATTCCAATGGCGCAAAAATGCCATCATTTCGTTTCTCCGTGATGTTATGTTTGTTCGAGCTGAATTTCTTTTTTTTTTGGCAGGCATTGGGGTGAGTATCTTTTGTCTTTCGAAGAAAGAATCCAAAAAATAAACGCATATTTTTATTTTGTAAGAGCTACCAAGAATCAGTAGAATGATATTTTTTTTGAAACAAAAAAAATTACCCGTCCTAAACAATGTATAGTATTTGTGCAAAAAAAAAAAAAGTTTCAGCTCGATCGGACGTACTAGAGGAAGAAGAAACGAGCGCGTTTATGCACTTTTTATTATGTAAATTTGATTTCTTGTCGAATTTTTTAATGTTAAAAGACAATTTTTGAATATGAAAATGTACTCAGTAGATAGATACTACTTCATACTATATAATGGTCATAAAAAAAGAAAAACAAAAAGAAGGTGATTCCTCCCCCTTAAGCTATTATGTAAATTTTAAATCAAATAATAAGATAAATGTCTTCAGGCGACTATGCTAAAACTGACAATAGAAGATGACATTTTATCGTTTTTTCTCACTTGTATTATTATGGACGAACTAACATTTTATTGTAAAATATTTTTTGGAACTGAAAGAGAAATAAAAACAACTATCTTATGACGTTAACCATCAATATTCACCAAAAAGTATTCAACAAGATTTGTCCTCAATTTTTTCTTCACTAGCTTAAGCACTATAAAGAATCTAATTAGCAATTCAAATAGAGAAAATTATTTTCAACACGTATACAAGGAAATAAAAATTATTATCAAATTTTCAAAGATAGAGTCTTGAGAAAACTCAAACTATAGTTTTCTCAGTACCTATTACACGTAAATATAATTTTTATTTCGACTATATAGAATGAGACTTATCGAAGTTTTCTACAATGCTTTTTAACTGAGATATAATAATATTAAGAAAGTTCATAAAATTTAGTTTTTTAATATTTCCTATGGGGAAAACATTTTTAAACTTTCAATTAAGTTCCTTTATCTCACGAGGAAATCCTTCATTCTTGAAATACCGAAACTTTACTGGGTTTTTCAATAAAAAGCTATGACCTTCGCTAATCGATTTCAAATTTTACACGAACAAAATTCTCAATGAGATTAGTTCATTGAGAAAATTGTAACTTTTATAGTATTTCCTATCGTGAGATATTCTATATTTGAACTTCTCTCATATGTTAAAGCAAATTTTGTTCATACATTTACATCTCCAGAAAGGAACTACTAATTACACAATTAAGTAATATCATTAAGAAAAAGTTTAAAGTCGATTAGAGAAACTACAGATTTTTGTTGAAAACAATTATTCATCAAATGAATATCTTCTAGGACAAAAAGCGATTTGACATCTGGAGAAGTTCTTTCATCGAACAAAAACTGTTGTAGAGATAGGCCTTGGAAATGTCTTATTTTGTAGACAATTGTATACTCTATTATTCTATGTAGTCTAAATAAAAATTATATTTACGTATTATAAGTACTGAAATACTTGGGTTTGGGTTTGCTGAAGACTTTTGGGAATCTGATAATAACTTTTATTTATTTATATCTTTGTTGGAAAGAGTTTTCTCTATTTGAATTCTTTCTACTAATTAAAAATCAATAGAAAGAAATTTTAAACAAATCTTGTTGAATAATTTTGATAATCATTCTATAATAAATTGAATCTAGTATCCTTTGGTTTTTATATGCAATTAAAAATCTCTCTCTCTGTGAGTATTCTTTTTTTCAGTTTTGTCAAACTCCATTGATCAGAATTGAACGTTTTACCAAATAGTTTCTTTTTCTAGGGTCAAATAGTTTTTGTAAAAGCTATGAAAAGGCTAAAAAAAAAGGTTATTGAGTGAGGAATCATGAATCCATCGAGTATCGTGTCAATATAGGAGGCACTTGATAAAAAAAAAATGTTTCCTTTCTTTTGTGCATTCAACACCTCGATGTGTCAAACCACTAAACCAAAAATTTCAGCGTTCAATCTCCTTTCTTTCAAAAGTTACTTAATACCAACTTTTTACCACAATCACATCCTTATTAAAAAATATCCTGTAAAATTTGTGCTCATTTTCGTTTCAAAGAATCATTGAAATTTTTTTTATAAAATATGCTAAAATAATAGAGGATTGAAAAAAGAACATAATGAGCTATTTGTCAACATGAAGGAAAAATAATTTTTTTGATGAGTCTAAAATGTCACAAAAAAAAATATTTAAAAATAATCGTTATATTCAGGGTGTGATGAAGTTCACGTTTATCTCCTATTCAATAAAAAAAACAAAAATTTTTAGCAGTTTTCATTGCCATGACATGATTGTACAGCAAAATAAATATGACACTCAAAATCAACATTAAAAACTATATTGAATCAAATACATTTTAGAGAAAACTTTTTTCCTACGAAAAACTGACCCTTGGAAGAGCACGGGACAAAATTTTAATAAAATACAACCATAGGAAATTACAGGTATTTTTTCACAGGGAAAGAATTTTTCTAAAATATATTTGATTCAATGTAGTTTTTAATGTTGATTTTGAGTGTCATATTTATTTTGCTTTACAATCACGTCATGGTAATGAAAACTGCTAAAAATTTTTTTTTTTTTTCTATTGAATAGGAGATAAACGTGAACTTCATCACACTCTGAATATAACGATTATTTTTGAATGTTTTTTTTTTGTGACATTTTAGACTCATCAAAAAAATTATTTTTTCTTCATGTTGACAAATAGCTCATTATGTTCTTTTTTCAATCCTCTATTATTTTAGCGTATTTTATAAAAAAAATTTCAATGATTCTTTGAAATGAAAACAAGCAAAATTCTTATAGGACATTTATTATTGTTTGTTTTCATAAGAATATGATAATGATAAAAAATTGGTATTGAATAACTTTTGAAAGAAAGAATATTGGGCGGTAAAATTTTGAGGTTGATGGTTTTATACATCGATGCATTGAATACACTAAAAGAAAAAAAGGAAAAAACAAATTTTATCGCGTGTTATGACAACATAAACGATGCGTGCTCTCTAATGTTCTCTATTCTATAGATAAACTTCAGATATACCTAATTGAATGTGCTTAGTAAGGTTGAAGAAATTGTTTATGAATTGTGTTAAACTACGACCTCCACAATTTTTAATACACCCTATACTTATATCAAAACAAAATTAGATCTTACATATGCAAAACTTTGAACTCGTTGAATGACCTGAAAAATTTTATTATAAGTACATCCTAAGAGCTATTCTCTATTGTAATATAAATCTTAGTGGCATTGTAAACATAGAAAACATCATGTTGACGTCATTCATGAACAATGATTTTGATTTGAATGACTCTCGATTAATCACTGGCACTTTAGATATAGAAAAATCTTGGCTTTGTTTGTATATTGTTAGACTTTTATTTGACAAAGGAATATGGGTAAAATGCCGAAGAATTCATATTCATTACAAAACTTTATTATTGCTTTTTTTCTAATATGGTAAGACTTGATACATTTTTTTCTAACTGATTTATCAAATTTATTTAAAATATTCTTCTTCTAAAAGTTTTAATGATTTTATTTTTTATTCATTCTCGACAAGCACATATGGGTATTTACTTAGTAAGTGTTTCGTAAGATTATATCGTTATTGATATACATTACTTCCTTATCTTCTTGTTTAAAGACAGTCTACTACTTTTACTTAGTTATCATCATAATATTAGTATATAAAATAAGTTGCATAGGCCGAAGAAAATAGATGATCGGTATAAACATTCTGTACAGGTTCATAGTCTATTATAAGTAGAGGAGACCTATGAAAATTAGACTTGTTTAAATTTCTGCTATGCATGAATAAATTCCGTATTCATTATCTAAAAAGAAAATTTAATTTAGTGCCTAGTGAAGATTTCCATTTGCTTGTGCATACATTGCATTTTAGATAAGTTTTATTTTATTTTTATCCAGAACAATGCATAAGGACATTTTGATCACATTTTAATTCTTGTTTTCTTGATATTTTTACATCTGTTGAAATAGAATGTTGATGTGAGCAAACGGAAACTTCAATAGAGCGTTTAAATGCATTTTCATTAAAAAAAAAGGTACCTGCTAGAATAGCGGAAGTCCATTAACAAACAATACAAAGTTTACATCATATACAATTAAAAGCTTCACTAACTTTGCAAGGTTGGTAGTACATCATGAAAAATCGTTATTATTTAGTAGTATAGATATCGAATTATTTTATTATATGTATCCATCATTCTATATGTTACTATTCATTAGATAGTATCGAACATATGAATATATACAAGATGGTCTCATTACAATCAGCATCAAAATCTATATGTTTTTTTTACAGGTAGTTCCATAGAAATATGTTTTTTTTGTTTTTGTAAAATTTTGATATTTATTTTAAATGTAGATAAACAAATTGAATCAAACATATTCATATGAGATATATTAGAATATGAAAGAAATTCGCTGAGTTTCAAAAACGAAACTAAGACTACGGAAATCAGAGTCAATGGAATTTTCAGCATGACTAGAGAGAAAAACCATTTTGGCAGATCTATAATTACATTAATGTAAATGCAAAAAATAACGGTCTAGATCTAAGTAATACTTTTTTTCTAAAATCCAATAAATCATGTTTTTTTTTTTATGCCAGATATATAGATCAAAAAGTATTTAATGAAAATACTTCTTTTTTTTTCTACAGTATAGATAGATCTACTTACAATTCTTAAATAAAAGATGTCAATGTTTTTTTGAATGTTCGCAATTATCAGCTGGAATTTATCTCCATAGACAACTAGAGAAAAAAAAGCACCTGTTCTATTTTTTTTTTTTTTAGTCGCATAGCGATCGAAACTATTATTATTTATGATGACGTATGAACGTGAATGAAGAAAGATGAAATGCTTGTCGTATCTAATTAAAATCATCTGATTTTTCTTCTGTTTTTAAAAGATACTTGAAAGAAAAAAATATGACAATCGTCAGAATACTTCGTGTCGTTTACAGTTAGATGAATAAATGATAGAAATAGAATGATAGTCCTGTGTTTTTAAACATACCAGTCAGTTAGTATTGTTTGAGTTTGTTTTTTTTTTTATGATAATTACGTATTATTCGACAAAACAAAAGAAAAAAAAAACAAAAGATTCATTTTAAATGTTTGATTATTTATAAATTAAATTTGACATATTCTCTAACGGAAATTCGTGATATATATATAAATATACGTTTTTGTTTTTATTATTATTATTGTCATTTTAAATATAGATGAAAGTTTCGACATAAAATATGTGGCATGATATAATTCGTCTTGGTCTTGTACGTATATTTTATCCATGTTTAATGATATTTGGTACAATTGGTAATATATTATGTTTAAAAATTCTTTTACGAAAACGTTTTCGTCGTCAATCAACATGTCAATATTTATGTATAGTGGCTGTTATTGATATTTTATTTATTTATATGAGATCAACAAGATATTTATATCGATATATATTTCATGGTGATTTACGTAATACATCATTATGGATATGTCGATCATATATATTTTTTTCATCAACACTTTCACATTTAGCTTCATGGATACTTGTTATTGTTAATTTTGATAGATATTTTATAATGAAAAATTTTTTTCCATATCGTCATGCTGGATGGCGTGTGATTAAATCTACGTGCGTTCTTATTTTTATTATATGTCTTGTTAATACACACTATTTTTACATCTTAGGTATATAAGAAAAAAAAAGAAAACCTTTAATTTATGTTTATTTTTCTTTTTCTTTTTGTATAGGTGTTAATAAGGATTTAAATATTTCAAGTATTCATAAATATAAAAATAGTTCTAATGAAACTTATATTTTAACAACACGTTTCGTATGCATGGCACGTCCAGAATTTCAAAAATTTTTTAGTTTATATTTACCAATATTTGATTTACTTTCTGTAGCTATTATTCCAGTTCTTCTAATGATATTTACAAATATAGGTATAATACGTATAACACAACGTACAAGTCTTTTTTTAACATCACGAAAACAAAAACGAAATAATCGTCTTACAATTATGTTATTATCAGTTACATTAGCATTTATGCTATTAACATGTCCATCAGTTATATATATATGTATAAATCGTTTAATACCATCAACATCAGTTTCTGATACAAAATTAGTTATAATTGATTTACTTGAATCATTATGGTATACAAAACATGCATTAAATTTTATTTTATATACATTAAGTGGACAAGATTTTCGAAGAGAATTTCGAAAATTAATATCATGTTCAAAACGTACAACATCAAGTACATTACAATATCAACGACGACAACAACAAAAAGAAAATAATCTAGTTTCAATGACTACTTATAATTCATTTCGACAATCATCTTCGACTAATATTCGTTTACATAAATTAAAGAAAAAACGACAATATTATAATGGAAATAATCAATTATCAATGACATATTCAAATACAATACAAGATAAAATAATTGATGATGGAGAAAGTACTCTTGGTGGTGAATGTGGTTTATATTCTGCTAGTTCAAATGTCATATTACCGACAGTACCATGGTGGACATAGAAAAAACTTCATAAATAAAATTTTTTTTGAATATGAAAATAAAAAAATTCTTTTTCTTTTATAATATATAGAATATAAAATATGCACTTTTGATGTAGTTCCTTATATTTCTTTGATATTTTATTTTTAGATTTAATAATAAGGAAATTCTATTATATTTTTATTTCAAAGCTACACAATAGATTAATTGAACTTGTAAACAAAAATGATGTCTATTTGAGTATGTCAAAATTTGCATTGATGTCAAAGTTATTTAATGATAACTAATATTCCAGAATAAAAAGATTTCTTAGTATTTTATTAATATCTCCGTCAATATACATTACTTCAACTTGAATTTCTTTTTTATTAAAAGATTTCTTATTCAATTTTTTACAAATATAAAAATTAATAGTCGAATATTCCTAAACTGAAAACTGTTAGACACGCATAGAACGTATTTCATAAAATTTATTTTACTGTTTTTTATTCTCTTAACTATTGAATTTAGAAGATAAAAACAAACTTAATCATCCATTGACAATCTCTTGACAAGCTCTTTAGGAATATTAAAGCAAATTTCATATGCATGCTTTAATTAGCATGCAAACAAACTTTTTCTTCTACAAATATTTCAATAAAAAAAAAATTGGTATCACACTTTCTAAAAACTCATTTGTCTATGTTCTATACTAACTTTTTGCTTTTTTTTCGCGTTGTTCTGTAAGAAATTTTAGCATGTATGAATTGCTATACTTTTCAAATAGCTTTATATATTAAAAAAACTGAGACGAGCGTGACTAGGCGCATGTCTAATCTAAGAGGAAATAGAACTAGTTGTTGAAAGAAAATACTGCTTAAAAAAAAATCTGTCATTTCAATGCTATGCAGTCTTTAGCATAAAATATTTGACTGTTCGTTTCTATACACATTCGTAGAGAATTGAACGAAGAATTTTTTAGTAAAAAAAAAAAAGAAAAATCGAATGAAAAAAATATTGATAAAATAACTGGAAGATCCGTTGATTCCGAGACAACGGTTGCAAGAACTAACAGTCTAACACATAATAATTATTTTCTTCTAGAAACTCGCAAATTTAATTATATGATGAGGAGGAAGTAGCGGAAACTTCAGTTCTAACGCTCATTATTTTCCTCCCTCCCTCTCTCTCGTTATATGAAGACCAATCAAATTTAGATATATCATAAAAAAACTTTTCTTTCTTTTAAATAGAATACTTGAAACCGACAATCAAAATCAAGCATATCAAAAAAGATCTTTTTTTGTTAAATAATGTGACGAAAGAAAAGAGAATAAACTTTTTTTTTTCTTTTGTATTTTCGCTATTATTCTAGAAATTAATTTATTCTACGTATATCTTGAAAATTTGTTCATTTCCTAAACGTTGTTCATATATGTTCAAAATATTTATATTGATCAATATAACATTCTGTAGTGATTTAGAAATATGTTTACTGTTCTACAGGTGTTTTTAAGTAATCTAAAAATGTATAATATAGAACAAAATAATGTACCGAATATATGTGGTAAATGCAAAAGAGTGTTTATTATGACAACAATGTTATAAAATAAAGAAAAGAACAAAATGACATTCGTATTATTTGTTGTTAACATATTCAAGT